CTTTTATAATGAAGATGAGAAGGAATATATATAACGCAGAAGGCATGTCAACGATCTTAATTATTGGGTCACTCCAAAAAAATATTCTTGCATTTTACAAAATAAATTTATCTTCATATATTTACCTCATATAATTAACACAGAATGATTTAAAATAAGTCAAACATTCCCTTATAAATCTAACATGGCACTTGAGGCCAGTGCATGGCACACAACAATACATTTAAGAGTGCATGATGGATTAACCAGAATGAGAGATTAAGGAGGTGTTTGGATAGAAACAAAACTATGGTTTCAGAAGTACTTTTACAGATTACGAAGTAAATATGTAAAGGAGGTTACCTCGTTTTGCGGAAAAGTGCTTCTGAAACCACGGTTTTGAGGCACCCAAACATGCCCTAAATCGTGAGGTGGGCTATGCAAAATTGGGGGATCTCATAGTGATATAACAGCTGGTTTTGGTAAATATCTAGTGGAATTTATTATTATCAGCCAAAAATAGAAAATTAATTGGAGTAGTTGGCAAAAAAAAAAAAAGTAGAAAAATTAATGGATGGAGAAATAATTAAAGAAAGGTGTGGGGGGAAGGCAGGGCCATAGGGAAGGAATAGGGAAGTGTGCATCATAATTTAATGAAGCCATGGAAAGTCATCCCAAAAGTGGCTTTCCAAAATCCCTTTACCCCCACCCTCCATGTCCAATTTTCAAATGCCTACCCTATGGCGTCCTGTAAGCAAAACTATATAAAATTATTTAATTAATTTAAATGAATAAAAAGAGGCACAGTGATTAATTTATAAGTTATATAAATCAGTTTGAAGAAATAAACATGACATTGAATCAAAATGCTATATTTAAAACTAAATACAACTTTCAATTAACTAGTTATATTGTAGAAAGAAAGTAAAAATAATTCAGATATGTTGATTCTAATTAAAGAGTGATCTTGGTTAGCTGTACTAATAATTTTTCTCGTTTCAACAGTACAAAGTACTTTTAATTATTTTTCTCAGTTTTTAGTCAGAAATGTCTTTCATCAATTGTTTTTTCCATTAGGAATGTGTTGTATTAAAAACAGCAGGAAATAGTAATTTTTCATTTATGTCCTAATTTTCAGTCAAAATTTTTATAATTTAATCATACAATAATGTTACATTTCAAGTAGAAATATAAAAAATGAAAAGAAATATTTATTAAATTGTAAAATGACAAATAAATAATTTTAACATGGTAAATCATTGCGATACTAGTTTCATTACAAAGATAACGCAAAAGTCTAGGGCTGTTCACGGGACGGATCGGGACCGGGACAGGCCCGTCCCGGTTCCGTCCCGGTGAACAGTAACGGGACAGATTTTCTGTCCCGTGTCCCGGCCCGTCCCGGGGTTGTCCCGGTCCCGGTCGGGACGAGACGGATCCGAGACGGGACCGGGACGTCCCGAACCCCCTTTTTTTTTAAAAAAATTTTTTTTTAATTTTTTTTAAATTTTTAAAAATTTTTTAAATAAAATCTGATTTTTTTAATTATGTTTTTTTGGGCTTAAATCTTATAAAAACATCTTTTTATTTATTTGTTTGGACACTCTTAAATAAAAACTTAAAATATTACATATAATAATCATTAAAAACTCTAAACAAAAGCTTTTAACACAATAAAAACTTGCTAAAAATTCTAATCATCAATAATCTCAAATCATTAACAAATATAAAAACTCTAAATAAATATATCTATAGTTCCATACAATAGTCTCAAATCTTAAAAAGATATGAAAAAAATAATATTATATAAATGGGATAAAAAATTAAAAAAAATTTAAAAAAAAAATAAAAAAAGGACCGGGACGGGACCGGGACGGGACGACCCCGTCCCATGTCCCGTCCCGTCCCGGTCCATTTTTTGTCCCGTCCCGGTTTGTCCCGTTCCGAAAAATTTCGGGACGGATCCGTCCCGTTCCAATAAGACCGGGACCGGAACGGGCCGACCGGGACGGGTCATTCTTGAACACCCATACGCAAAACTTAACAAGTAAATTTTTTTTTTTTTCCAAATGATAACATCTGAAGTTCTGAGCCACCTTATTTGCAGAGGGGCAAGGATTGCTTCGTCATTCATGACGTCATCCTAAGTACCCTTAACTTCTTCTTTTTCTTTTTTTTGGTTTGCCATCCATCCCATGTACCCTTGCGTACACATGATCTCTCCAAGTAATATATTGTCATTAATTATGTATATAACCATATATTTAAATACTTAATGCAAGCTTCATCTAACGCGTGGACTGCAAAAAAGGAATTTTATGAATGGTTTGTAAACAATATAATTTTTCATAAAAATTATGTTTTAATATATGACAAATTATATTGCTGTATTGATCTAATTATTATGTTAATTATTATTACTGCGACAACATATTTTTTTTGCCAGATATTGTTGCACCACAGTGAATTAAAGCTAGCTATTGAGGAGAATCTTTGAATTTATAAACACATCAAAGTCCGAGAAGGTGTTGGCCCTTCGCACATAATGATGAGAAAAGGCCCGAAATTCCTTAAACATTAATAAGGGACGGAGGAGAACTTTGTTTTTGTCTCTTTTTATTATCATTGATTCATTGAAATCAACACATAATAAGTGAATTATTGAATCTCATCTCCGCCATAAATTCGCTCCATTGGTTGGACGGCCAGATGCCCTATTGACTAACATAACTGCACAGAAACACCCAAAAAAAAAAAAATGGAATCGTTAAAAATATCCCGTGAAACACTCAATTAATTGGCATTACTTTATTATTATTATTGCCCCATCGTCTCTGGCACATGCATGTGTTTGTGGTTCCTTTATCGAGTAATTAGATTCGTACAATAATATCTATATATAGATGCTTCCATGCTCCATCGACCTATTGTTTTTTTGTGTGGCCAAAGCATATGTATCTTTCTATTAGAAGTAATCATATTTAAAGTACTGTCAGGTATTAAATGTAGATATCTCTCTCAGCGGGGATTCGAATCTCAGTTCGTCGTATTGTGAAGAACTAATCCTTTCTGCTAGATCTAATTCTGTTGGCACAAACTTAGCAAGCAGGTACCTGTTTCATCTCCACTGCATCTCCACAAAGTAAAGCACAGAACAGTTAGGAGAGACATTTGATGTAAAAACATAACCGACGGGGGACAAAAACAACAGAACTTTATGATGGGAGCCCAGCAGGCCAGTAGGCATTTGATCTATCAGTTTTGACATGCACAATCTCCATAGTCGTCATGGCCCAAGAAATTGGCAAATAAAAGCATGGCCCAAAAACAACTGAACTCTATGATAGGAGCCCAGTAGATGAGGAAAAACATAACCGATGGGGGGAACAAACTTGCTTGTTTTTTTGCGGGATATATAAGGAGCAAATCAGCATAATTTGGTGAACTAATATTTAAAGTTTTATTAAAAAAACTATTTATATTTAGTACTCGAGAGTATTTTGAACATGCTCCAATAATAACATACAAAGGCGGCGTTTGGGATCCCAAACATGCGCCCTCGCCTCAAAAGCTAAGAAGCAGAGAAAATATTTGTTTAGGTTCACGTTTGGCTAATTGAGCTTTTTGAGGTTGAAATGGGCTTTGGGAGAAGTAAACTTTCGGTGCGTTTTGGGTTGCTTGTGGGCGGTGAAAGAAACTGTTGAAAAATTTATGGCTGTGTTAAAATTTTTTACCCACCTGACCCTCACCCCTGCATGAATATTCTCTCACCTCAATAATAAAATAAAATCACAAGTTCACAACACACACACTCCTCGGTTAAAACACGCCATGACGAAAGAAGACGATAACCCCTGTATGATTTCTAATTTATATATTTATCCATTACATATATATAATTAAGTATTTATTATTTTTCAATTTCCTTCTAATAATAACTGAATTTTTTATTTTTAATAATTTCATTTTCAATATTTCTTTTAAAATTGTCACATTATATATATAATTCCTTTATAACAATAAATTAAATTTTCTTATTTTCATTACTTTTTTTAAAATGGCCACACTATACATATAATTTTTTTCTAATAATAAATTAAATTTATTTACTTTTAATAATTTTATTTTCCTTCTTAAAAAATAGTCACATTATATATGTCTAATATTAGAGATATACTATTTAATAAAATTCAGATCCTTTTAAGTCATTTTACATCCAAACTTACCTTTATATTTATCATCCAAACAAGTTTCAGCTTCTCAAACTGACTTTTTTTAAAAATCCAATCCAAACATAAATCACATTACCTATCTGACTTTTATCCAATCTGACTTATGTAAAAGTCAGATTGAAAAAAAAGTTACTTTTCCACCATTAATCCAAACACACCCAAAGAGCAATGCACCAACCGGAGGAAGGCCCATTTATCTTGTTTTATCCTGTACTATTATTGGAATCCAAGTCAAAGGAAATCTTCTTTTGAGTAGTTTTATAACATTTATATTACGGAAAGCATGACAGATTTTTTTTATACTAAATAAAAAAAGAAATAATAATATCATTGGAATCTAAGTTAATGGAAAGCACGACAAATTTTTTTCTTTTGCGTGTAAATTTCTTTTTGTTTCTACCTAGGTATTTTAACATATATTAACATTTCAAATATACAATTTGAGTTGAACACAGTTTCACCTTCGCATGCCCCCACCCTAACTTTTAATACTACCTCCTATTCTAATTATAACTCCTTGTTTATAGCTTAGAAACAAAATATTATAATTAGAACCGAAAATAATAATAATGACGATGATGATAATAATATGTACCACTGCGTTTTATACAGCTTATAATTTATGAATAATGTAAAATATTTTCTTTATAATAATATTAAGATTAATCACATGATTCACATTAGTAAGACAGCCTTTCCATAAACAAATTTCCTTGTTTATTGAAAGGAACGGGAAAAAGTGAGAGTGCTCAACGTCAACGAGTCGAACATTGTTGAGTCGCCTCAGCTGACACGGCGATTCCGGATGGTGTGGGCAAAGTAACCACTCTATCTGCCTCAACGTACGTGGCAGCCTGGCACGGACAAATCCCGAAGAATTCATTCGCAGTTGGATTCCTCAGCTTCATTCTTTCAATCTCAGAATTGCAAAACCCGGAAACCTCAACCGACGGGCGATGGAATTGTAGATACGGTTTAACAAAACCATGAAAGGTTTGGGTCTTCATAAACCACTGGTTTCGAGGACCAAGCCTCCCTTTTTAGCTCCAGTGGACACAGTACCCTGCTCTGCTAATTTCTTTAGACCCACCATCTCACTCCCATGTAAGTTCTTCCGACTATTTTCTCTGTATTTTTATTTTGCTCTAGTGTACGCCAGAAATGGTTGCTGTGATAGAAACTGGTAGTTTGAGTTCTGCTGCCTTACTGAGTACCATAATGCCTAAATTATATATAGTAAGATGCAGAAAGATATCGAGGTTGAAGTTGGCCCATGGCACGGTTCGAGTGCAAGCATCCAATGTCGGCATTGGACCTGGAGATTATGAAAGCAAGAAGGAGAGCGACGGCCAAAATGTCTTTGGAGGCAGTCCAGTCAATGATGATTCTTCTAAAGTGTGAGTCCTTAGTGACTGATCAATTTTATGCTTTATTTTACTAGATTATGGCCCATCTGTGATTGGCATCCAATCCCATTGCAAACTTCCAATATGCGTCAGTGGGAACCTTGGGGAACTTGTGATGCACCGAAGCAAGAAGCTTTCAGTCCTAGCCTTGAATCCTGAAGTCATCTATTTGAGTTTCGAATCGATCATCCTCTTTCTCTACTACACTTGGATCTTTCATCATCATTTCGACCTTGTCATTCCTGCTTACCCCCTTTCGTTATCATACTCGAGTGTTATACAACTGTATCGCAGATATGAGCATTTGCTGCTGTATATATCTGAATAATCTTGGATAGTCCTGTCTATTATATACATTCGAAGTTAAGCTTGAGTTTGTTCCATGGTTGCAACCTTCCTGGCAATATGAAGATTATAATATCCCTCATACTGGGATCAACTGATGATAAGTGATAGGTAAGTTCCTCATGGAACAGACATAAGAGATGCATTTTGCAAAAATAGAAGTTTGAACTGAAAAGAAGTTAGTAGATTCATTTCCCTCTTGTGAATATAAACAGCGACTGTATTAGTATTTGTTTCCCATATCTCAGCCGTGGAAATCATTTTCAAAGAATAACCCGTTTTTAATTTCTGAAGGCAACATTGGAGAATATGTTTTACAGGTTCCTAGATATGGTACAAATTTATACTTTATGATTGAGAAATTATTTTCCCCTCTCTTTAGTTTCTAAAAGGCTTCTATGGTCACAATTTCATGTTTTCAGTTTTCCCGTGCGATCAATTTGTCATTAAATTTGTTCCGTTTAAATTTTTTATATTTAAACTGCTGTGGGTATTCATGCCCCTGTTACAACTCTGATTTTGACATATTTCATGTCTTGGCAGTGTGAAGCAACCTCCTCAGATCCCTTATCCTATCTCTATAGCTCTTGTGCTATTTGGATGTGCTCTTGTATTTTCATTGATAGCCTTTTTGAAAGGGGGGCCCTCGTCTATCCTTGAAGCAATAGCAAAATCTGGATTCACTGCTGCATTCACGTTGATATTTGTTTCTGAGATAGGAGACAAGGTAACCGTCAAGAAGATGTTTTCGACTCTTGTTTATATAGTTATCTTCCTCATCCTAAGTTAAGATTTCTTTGAGGCTTCAAGTACATATTTATACTCAATGCAAGTTCCAATAACAGCAGATAAACTGAGATGAATTTATTGGAAACTGATGGTGAACATCTGATAGTGTTAAAATCAATAGAGCGAAGATACCTTTATTTTGAGGTGCCATGTGTTCAAAAGTAGAAAGGGAAGCTTGGACATTGATACTCATGCATGCAGCTTGGGCATGTGCCAAAGCCTAACATGCCCAAGTTGTGGATATAGTTAGAATAAACCTAAAAGAGGATAAATTAAATATATCACTAATCTCTAACAGTTTAAAAGTTACATGATGTGCTGAGAATGCAAGCGGCGCAGCTGGTTCGCTTCACCAGACTGTGGGTAGCTAGCGAATAGGGTCTGAGATCTTGTTATGGTCTATGTTGGCTGAAGTTTGACACGTGTCAATATATTTATGTCATGTCATTTGTCATGAGTCCTTACTTCAAAGGTTATCGACTTGTGGAATTGATGAAAAGGAATTTCCATTACTTGTTCATTTAACTTATCAGTTCCTTATCTTGGCCAGACATTCTTCATTGCCGCACTCTTGGCTATGCAATATGAAAAGGGATTGGTATGTCTCCAATCTTTGTCTCTAAATTCTAGAGCTGTCAAATTTCCTGAAATTATTTATTAGAATTATTCTTCACTATGTTTTGCTTATTCTCTTTGTTGTGTTATGGACTAACCGGATTAAACTCAAGTCCCAACTGTATTTGCTATGTTTTTATTTTAGCCTCGCACTTATCTTTACCCTGACCAATCTCATGGCTCTGGATTGTAATAATTTAAGTCAATTATTGCCAAAAAATTTTGGATCAAGGGTTTCTCTCTCTCAACCCTGTTTTGCCAAAGTTGTCAAGATACTTTCTCTTTGTTTAATGTCAACAAAAGGGCTCAAAGATTTTAAAGAAGATTGTCGATATGGCCTTACTTATTGTGAACTGTGAATTCCATTATAGTGAAAGGATTCCCTTCATTATTATATATATCCCCAAAATTGTGCCAGAAATGGTTAAGACGCCCACTCTCCTATTTGTCACTTTGAATGTGAATGCAGGAATGGCACATTGGAGTGTTTTAACAACTGCAGTTATGCACCTTTTATGTTGCTGAACTGAACATAACTTTATTTTGCCCACCATTCTTAAAACCAATATGCTAAGTTAAAGTGAAAACTTTCTACATTGCAGTCATCAGTCAACCATTCTGTATTGGCTGTTAGTAAATTGAATAAATATTTGAAGGAAAATCTTGTTAATTCGTAAGTTATAAAATTTGAGGTTTTCTCCCATGCTCATTTTGGATGCTGTGGCTACCGATATTCATAATTATCATTACAGATCAACAAATCAAATGCAACACTTTCTTTGGAAACTGGTCTGAATATCTGTTACCTATGTCACTGCAAGAAGGAGTGATTAAAATTTATGAATTTGAAAAAAAACATTAATGATTGACCAGGTCCTACTGGGATCAATGGGTGCACTTTCTCTAATGACAATCCTATCAGTTGTAATCGGCCGAATCTTCCAATCAGTGCCTGCTCAGTTCCAGACAAGTAAGTAGCGAAAGTTGGCATTTTTCATCCTTATCAGATTAGGTATAGAACTGTCTCTATAGTGAAAGAACTCATCAGACAACCATGTTGGCCATAATAGTAATGCCTTCCAATTTTTATCTGATTAATCAGCATAAACAAAGCCTGCTAATAAACAAATATCTGGTTTATGATTTGGGAGATTCTTAACTAATCCTTTCTTTTGCTGTTTAAAAGTTTTCTTTGCAAGGAGTTAAAGGTTTACTAGTACCTTTGATACTTGAGTTTGTCTTTCTACAGCATTAGCCCCTTTGTGATATCCCACTGTGAGAAAACCTTATATCATTTTAGAATTTTCTAGCTCGTAATTTCTGGCCCTAGGGCAGTCTCCACTGCTCAGACTTAGCAGTAATTTCAATCTTGAGCAAATATCTGTGAATCATGAATACTGTTTAAAGTCCCACTTGTATCTTTTTTTTTATTTTTTATTTTAATTTCTAGCTTTTAGAGGATTCAATCAGCTTTCATAGAGGACTTTCCTTCCTCCTTCATAATTGTCATTATGGAAACACATTTTTTCTCAAAAGTGAACTCTGGGTGCTGACCTCTGACGTTTTCATGTTGTTTGGTCTATTCGTACAGCCTTGCCAATTGGAGAATATGCAGCAGTAACTCTTCTTCTGTTTTTTGGGCTGAAATCAATAAAAGATGCATGGGATCTTCCATCAGAAACAGTTAAGAGAGATGATAACAGCAGTCCTGAACTGGATGAACTTGCTGAAGCAGAGGAGCTTGTGAAAGAAAAGGTTTGAATCTTATGCATAACATGGGCCTTTTCTCAGATCAGAATTTTTGTTATGAATATTATTATGTTCTGTCAACTTAGTAATGAGTTACACGCATGCGAAATTGATTTCTTTCAACCATGACGTTGGTATATGCTATAAATTATTTGCAGGCTCATTGTTTGTAGCATGCAATATGATACTATGCTCTGTTTTTAACGCCCTTTTATTCTCTCATCCCATCTTATGTTTCCAAAACATCTTCAGATGTCCAAACGGCTTTCCAATCCGCTTGAGATTGTATGGAAATCATTCAGCCTTGTATTTTTTGCTGTAAGCCTCCTTGTCTTTTATCTTCTTTTGCTTCAATCGCTTAGCATGGATTTCTGGTCATTAACTCGTCACTGCGAAGCAAGAAAAAGTAACTTACTGCATCAAACAAGCTTTCATTTTGTTGCATATTTTCTCAGTATGACCAGGTGCTACTTCATGTTGTTGATTTGATTCTTAATTCAGAACGTGCTGTTTCATAGTGGTCATGTCAGTTGAACTTTAAATATCTAGTTGTTAGTGGTGATCATCCAAACACATCATATAAAGAACCACGTGTTTATATTGTTATATTATCTCCTCAGCCACCAAGTTTGATTTTGCCACTGAAATTGCTTTAGGAATGGGGAGATCGCTCAATGCTTGCAACAATTGCACTCGGTGCTGCTCAGGTAGCCTTTTACTTCTGTGACAATAACTTAAAAAAAAAAATGTTCTTTCGCATTTTATCAACCTCTATAATGTCTGGTTCTTCAGTCGCCCTGGGGTGTGGCAAGTGGAGCCATTGGTGGTCACTTTCTTGCAACATCTATTGCCATACTTGGAGGAGCATTTCTTGCCAACTACATTTCTGAAAAACTGGTAATGTGTCAAAGTCATAATCAATTTTGACATTTAATTTTTGCACCAGTAATCTGATTTCTGATGTATATTCATTTTCAATCAGGTTGGCTATTTGGGTGGTGGGCTGTTTCTAATTTTCGCTGTAGCCACTTTTTTTGGTGTTTTCTGATATCTTGTTGCAGTGCTATGCTTTAATGGTCCCACTCATATAGAAACATGAGCACCTGTGTGAACAATGAATGAGGAAAAAAGGGGATAGTGGAAATTCATAGTTCAGTTTAATTGGAGAATTCCTTTAGTAGACATGAGCGAGAAAAAGGATTAGGATGAAGAATAAGATGCAGTACCCCTCCTGTCAGAGAGGTCGTGGTGATGTGAAACTCATTATTTCATTCCATTCTAAGATTACTTTGTTGTAATTCATGGTTGCTGTAATAATAGGACAATCCCTAACAAAGGTCATCCATCTAAAAATTTGGTGGCTCTCAAACTGCACGTTCAATTAGTGTAGAAAATGACCCATCAGGAGAACAAGCCAATTTGGTTTTTATTCTTTGTTTTAATTGGATAATTTAATGGGTGCTATGAATTGATGTCTGTATCTTGTGTTCTTTAAAATGTATTAGGAATTGTTGAGGCAAGTTTGATTGCATCTAAATTTCATATCGTCGCAAAAAATCCAAGACGATAGACTGGTTGGCATGCCCGGAATGCACGTCTCCGTTAGAATTATTTATTCTAAGGCATGAAGTGTCTTTAAAGCGAATAATAAAGTTATAGAGAGAGAGAGAGAGAGAGGCCCACAATTTTTTATTGTTTCGTTTCATGTAGCACTATAAACATTCTACATGCTCAGAGCCTTGCAGAATCTAAATTAATTAGATGGGTATTACATTGCAATGTTATATCACCCTGCAAAAATATTTTTATTAAAGTCATTTTTTAATTAAAATTCCCCGACCCTTGAACTTCACAAGTTCATGTTATAGACCGAGGGGCCTTGCTAGTTAACTAACAATACAAGGACAGTTGACTCCACCATTTTCTTCCGCCAGGGGGAAACATTACTTGAAGCAGAATAATGAACAAGAAGGCTTGTGGCTTCTCCCTCATTAAGCGGAATAATAGAAGCTAGTGCCGCAGATTTAGTTTTCCATCACAACCCAGTCCTTCCGGTTTCCGTTCGTTTTCCCTCTTACGTTTCACCAAACAATGGTTTAACTCATGATTATGGCGCCAGATCCCCACGATGAAAATTCATCCTGAGCTTTAGGTTCTAACCTTTATTCAATTATTAGCACCCACAAATTATTTAAAAAAAAAAACCTTTATCCCATTACATGCTACCCCCTTCCATCTTCTTTATAAGTTTCAAATTTGACAAGAAATGTGATCATTTTGCGAACTTCAATTTGAACTTGTTGCCACCCCTAATTATTTCTCTCTCATCACACTTTCCCACACATTCTCTTTCATCACTTTTCTAATTTATTATAAAAGGCATATTTGAAAGCAAAAATCTATTTCTACCCTATTTATTGTTTTCAATTAATTTTAATTAATTGTTCATTATCTGTGAATTAATTATTTACAGATTATAACAAAGACCAGAGGGAATGCAAGGAATCACAAGGCTCGAACTCCTCCCATGGTTCAAGTGTTAACTATGGATTTCTTGATCCGGTAACTTCTCATGATTTAGGAAGACATCAATCTAAAGAACACAAAGGTAAAGACAGACCTCGACACAAATTGAATATGAAAATGGGCGTGAAACCCAACTATGGTGTATTTAATCCATTTTTTGCACGTGAAATCAAAATAACATCCGCCAAGAGAAAGCACAACCCCATATATAAATTTGACATCCAGAATTAGCAAAAATTTGACTGCTCTAAAAGAATTAGTAATCGTACCTAGCTTATATCCAGCACAGACTGTAACTTGCTACAAGATTTCGAAGAGGAACAAGTAAGAACGCAATCAGTTGATTCTTCCAAGCCGTCGTACCTTTTCTCTTTAGGTAGGCTTATATTCCATTGCATCTTATGAATGCGTGGTAGAGTCACTTCATCAAAATTTACAGAGAGGAGAACGGAAAGTACCATTTGACAGCAGGTCAACAATTGCTTTCTCAAGTCTTCGAGATCCTGGACCTGGTCTCAATATACCAGCATCTCCCCAAACTGAACACGTCCCGTTCCCAGGCTCACCTAGGCACCATCCGCCAGGCACAACTGATTCAGGACTTCGACCCAAAATTTTTTCATCAATGAGATCAAGCACTGCATCATCTGGCAGGAATTTTCGGGCAAAGGCAGCTCCACTACTAACCATGTCATTAAAATCACTAGTATTTAGCGCCCGGGGTTCATCCATGAAAGGTTTGTCAAAAGTATTATATAGTAAGTTCTGATTTACAATAGTCCTGCTGAATCTGCGAGAATTACAGAGAACCGTAGGGAAATAGCTGGAAAGTGATTTAGGGGCGTTTGCAAAATACATCAGTAGCGTCCTTGGGAGGTTGTCCTCTCCCAAGACGCAAAATTCTATAAACTTGCGACTCAAGATAAAAAATGGTGATCCTGCAAAAGAGAAGAGAAGATTCAGATGAACTCAGTTGTTACAGAAATAGAATTTCTTAATTAATGAGACAGCAGGTTTCCATATTTGCTCGTATTAAAGGCATGAACCTCTTTTTATTTGGGGAAAAAATGCATGAGCCATTATTTTTCCTGCTTTATTGGAGTTTCAAGAATATCAAAGGGGGGGAAAAACTGATACTAATAGTTTGTGGACAGAAAACACTTAGATGCAGTTTTTTTAGATATTTGTTATAAGGTTCTTTAATAAAATTATCACAAGTGGAGGAACTCTTTATGTCTAATACTTCGTTAAATTTCAACCAGTACATCTATAAAAGTCGTAGTAAGTCACACTGTTAGTGAACAATGCGACTTATCTCAAACTCTATGCAAATATACAAGGCTCACTTTATTTTGTAGAGAAAGCATTTCTACTCAGTCTCGTTAGGTTATTGTTTTGTTTCATGGAAGGCTTAATTAATTTGCTCGAACCCTTCCTAGTCCCTATTACTGATAGATTTAATACTTCATTCCCAGCATACAGCCCAACTTTTGATCATTTCTTCTCTATTTGAAATGTCAAGCTTTACCACCTTTGTTCAATCCAAATAGCCCACCACCTTGAGCCATTACTGTCCTTTGGATTACAACTTGAAGATGACTACTCCTTCTTAGAACATAAAGAAAAATGCGACTTTTTCTTTAATTAATTGTTCATCCCTCCAATTTCATACAGACTTCTTAGCCTTTTGAGCCACGAACATTGTCATCCAGGATCCCGAAATTGTTAACTTGTGCCTCTGCTTGAACTGAAATTCGCTAGTAGTAAATTGGTCTACCTACTTTCTCTTATCCATTACTTTGTAGTAGCATATAAGTTGATCTAGCTAGATAAATTTGAAATGTTAAAGAAGCCGTAACTATTCAGCTTACAAAATATCACGTTTGATAAGGCTTACGTTTCAAACGAAACAAATACAGGGGGAAAAAAATAGGAAAGAGAGATTCCCAAAGAAGCCTTACCTGTAAACAAGCGGAAGGCGTCAGGATAATCCCTCTTCTGAGTAGCAAAAAACATTTCGGTCCCCTCTGAAAGATAAAGGCCCGGATCAACAATAATGGGTCTCAGCTTCCTTGACCTATAGTATCAAACACCAAGGAAAATAAGCATCTATTTGTTCCGTAATTATAACGCATCAATCACCAAGGAAAATAAGCATCTATATGTTAATTATAATAATGTCCTATAGAAACTTAATTGAGCAACACAAAAAGCAGTAAAATTGGCTTACTCTTTCCAGCCAATGTAACTTGAATGGTTCACAAAATTCACATCCTTGGGCAGAAATGACAAAATGTGGAGGAGATCTGGAAATCCACACAGCATTCAAGATCATAAAAACCAATAAAATAAAAAATACAGACACGAAAAAGCGAAAAGCTACGCACGTAAAAATTCGCCATACCATACCATCTGGGTAACGAGTGGATAAGCATCAGCACTCAGACTGATAAACCAATTCCATTTGACCGACAAGCGAAGCAGTATCGAGGCGCCGTGGAGCGTGAAAGAAACCGGAGACGACCCCTTGGAATAGACAAAATCCGGCTTGCCGATAACGTCGACGTTTTGGGCAGCTCGAAATATGGGGTTAGACTGTACAGCGAGAGCAAGCCTCTCACGATCGGCATATGGAGCAAAGGGGTCGAGGTGGAGGAGGTAATGGTTACGGGGATGGTATGTGGCGAAAAGCAATCGGAGGACCCGACTCCAATCGCCGCGGGATCCGGAGATGAGGTAACCTATGGAGGGAGGGGAGGGATCAGATTGGGAGGTTTCGTCGAAGACGATGCGTTGGGCTTGGTGGGAGGGAAAGAGAGAGGGGTCAGGTCCAGAATGGGGAGGAGTGGAGGAAGACGAAGAAAGGGAAACGATGAGAAGAATAGAGAGAAGCGAGAAGGAAAGTAGAATGAGAAGAGTAGATTTAGGATCTCTGAAATTGAAGGATGAAAACGGAAATGCAGGTGAGGCTGATACAGCTCCGGCTGAAGCTTGAGTTAGCATTTTTTTTGGGGTGCAGCGAAGGACGACGATGGTTCAGCTTTAGCACTGCGCTTCTCCGCCTTACTCCCTCATTGTATGCTTCCTGTTTTACTACTGTAGTGTTCAGAACTATTTTGAAACCCCCCCCCACTCTCATACTTAAATGAATTGTTTTTCTTAATTTTTATAAAAACAATTTTTTCCCCCTTGCAAAGTTGGTGTTTAGAACTCATTTTAACTTGTTCCATACAAATTAGTTATCATTGAAAATCTAAGCTTAATCACGAGAACAAATTGTTAAATATAATATCTTTACGAACAGCATTGAGTACAAGGAGTACGACGTTGTTACTTAAAAAATGATTAGAATTTTTAATTATTGTAAATATAACAAATTAATTAGGAGATACCTATATTTTATCTTCACTACCTAAACAAATTACAAGTTTATATAATCAAGCATGGTGCCACTTCTTATAATTTTAGAAAATGGTGCAGATCTTGCGTCTTTGCACTAGCAAAAGCAACCGTCTAGTTGTTCCTGTATCCTACTACTACTGAGAATATGTAACAGAGAACTACCAACGTATTACCATATATGTGTGTAAAGAGGCGTTCATACGCGAGATACATCAATACAGGACATGCTCATCGCCATTATATTTGCCATAGTTTAATAGACAAAATTGACCAATATACAAAATCGTTTTCATTTGGAGTCAAAGGGCAGTAAGGCATAATTCTCAAGGTCAATTGTGGTCCAAAATGGGGTTATAAAAACAAAAACCTATTGCACTTCAGTTGAACTGCCAGAGAAATTCCTCAACAAGATTCCCGAGATGCTATTCCTTTATTACTCCTGCTTAACTAATCCTAGCATTCATTAATCATGATAAAAAGCAAATATGGCATGAGGTCACAGCAAAATTGATGCAATCTGCATGTCTATTAATTTAACAGCAAGTAGCCTGAGAGGTAACAAGGGATGGTATCATGCTAATCCTAGGTATATCCATTAGGCCTCTGTGCTTTCGCATTTCGTTTTCGCTTGTCGGCATCATAATGTAATAAAGCAGCATCCAGCACCTGCAATTAATCCAATTATCCATTGATTATAATCCACAAATGATGCTGAGGGGGCGTATTAATTCGAAAGGAACAAAGGCATAACACATTCAAGGGATCCAAAAAGCCATAGTACTGACGCTTCGAGAAAAAGTTCAGCCGAGGCAATGTCAGATAAAGAGTTGAGACTTGTTATCATGGTAACAGCTCAACTAATAAAAAAATTCCTGGAGAAAGTTCATTGACATGTCAATCAAGCCACAAAGATGTCCAAGGAATAGGTGCCGACAATATCATTCTATAAAATTAACAATAGTTTTCTTTAGGATTAATATAACTTTTGATCCTCAAGTTTGTTTTCATTTTAGTTTTGGTCCATCAAGTTTCAAACAATAGATTTTAATTTCTCAAGTTTTTTTTTTTTTCATTTAAAATATCGATACTTACAATTCAATAAAAACCTAGATCATGTTGTCCCTTCAGGTACCAAAACACACGAGGGCCTAAAACCAAAATGAGGGCAAATTTGAAAGAGTAAAAATTGTATTAAACCTTTCCTTTATTATGCCTTTTTTTTCCCCCCTAATTTCATTAATTGATCATAGATTGCTTAAATAATTACTCATTGTCTCCATTTTCATGTTTAATTTCAGGATGCAGATGATACAGCATTTGACGAAATCATGCATAAAGAGATGAAAAAAAGTCAAACGGGTATGAGTGCTTACCTGCTGCATAGGATGAACGATAAGGGAAACCTGGTGCCTCACGTCTGACCGCGCAGATACCTTTATTTCCTGAGAATTAAATGAAATGAAAAATTATGAAGGCAGATGGTAACTTCTGCCAAAAGAAAAAAAAAAAAAAACCATAAAAGTCTCCATTAATGACAACGCCAAATAATTACCTCGAGTTTAGAATACATTTGTGATATGGAATCCTTCAGTCTGTTCACCTGCATTCAATAACCAAATGAACGAGAAAATAAGAATAAATGAAATACACCAAGTGTCCTCTGTAAATCTTTGCCAATAATATTGATACAATGCAAGACACGCACATGCCCACCATATGCATATTTCAAAAGAAGCCTTCCCAAATCTTCAAATGACTAACTGATAAATGACTTCAGCACAATTACTAAACCCCTTCTGATGTCTATTGGTTGGTCATTCATGTAGAGGTAACAAGACATCAATCTTCGGCCACTGCTTTGCAGCTTAGGCTATTAGGCTGGCTGGTTCTTCAACATAACATCAGAGCCTCTTCTACCAGAGTGCTTCATAGCTTAGTCTACCAAGTTAAACAGTTTCTCAACAATTAATCAGCCAGAAGGAGGAGCTCGGATGTACAGATGAGATGACAATGGAAGTTTAGTGGTTTGGTTCGATTTGGTTTTAGGTCAAAAATCAAACAGAACCAAAACCTATTTGGTTCAAGAATGAGATAAATTTACACGAAAATGCAAGCCTGTACAAATTCATGACTTCCACATCGAGTCATAAGATCTAATGTGCATAAATTCTCGCGCCATTAAAGATCTTGTTGAAATGATAAAAGACAAAATAAATTACCTTAGTATTAAGGTTTGATGTTGTAATTGGATACGAAGACCAGAAATGCCTCAGCAGTTCCAGACTGCAAACCCAATGCTGGAAAGAAGGAAGTGCATATTACATATATATCTAAAAACATTTAGAATTACCCAAAACAAAGCACCAATACTACTAGAAAATTTAAACTACTGCTATGGGAAACAGATGCCAGAATTTATGGAAAAGCCCAAAATATTATCTCTCTCTCTCTCTTCTTTCCATCCTTCTTCTATTGTTCCCCTTCTCAAGGAGCTCGTAAACAATTGGCATTTACTAACATCTAGCAGTTGCTCCTTGGTTGTATTAGGCAATATATCCAGGATGCTCTCCTGGGAATTTTTTCCAAACTGATATTTGGAGGTTGAGATATTCTTTGTCAGTCCAGTAAAAACCTGTACGAAAAAACATTCATATTTCAATAACAGAAATTGATTGACTGACGAAACAGACGGTAGAAGAAAAAGGAATAAATATTGTCCACTTGACCTAGTGTATTATTGAGCATTTGATCAGACAGGCCCAGACATTCGTCAATTATTTAAACAAGCTCATTTGCTAAGAAAAAAATAACAGATAAAAAGATTCATTACCCTAGAAGCAATGTCGGGACTAACTAGGGGATCACTCAAACCTAAGATCTTTATTTTGGATATAGACGCCTTCAAAGAGCCATATGCTTCCTCAGAACTTAAATTGCATCTTGTTTGATCCATTCCAGCTTGTGAGTGGTCCAAAGTCCTAACAGCATTAACTTGTTGGGAATCAAAGTACTCTCGAGGATCCTGGTTTCGAGAAAGAAAGAAACATAAAAGGAAACAGATATTAACTAAATGTAAAATTTTATAATACACCACTAAGTTATTTGGACAACATATGCCATTGTTATGGAGTCTGAAATGATTATTGGGCATTTAGAAATTCTAGCTACAACTTATTTTATTAAATAGCAGCAAGAAAACTTATTACTCATCCTCTATAATGCAGAAGATCCATTACCTTATACGACACAAGAGGAAGATTCAAGCCCTTATCTAACTAAGCAATAAAGCATATCTAAACAAAATAAAACAAAACAGCTAAAGCACAGGAGATAAACCAAACTAAAGGGCCTAAGATATTATCTTATCATAATCAAAACACAATACCAAAAACAATCGTAAGTGCCTAAAGGGAACAAACTAAACAAGTACGGGGGAGTTTCGCAACCCTCATAAGCGCTTAAAAAAAGTATTTTCATGCAAGTCGAGACAAAATTCCTCTTACATACTTATCCTGGACTCTGTAAAAGCCAATCCAAACACCCCCTAAGTCTTGACTAACTAAAATAAAACAACTAAAAATAACTTGATTAAATCAGATAATGATTTCCACCAAGGCACTTAATGGCTGAGATCAAGCTGGACCTTGATACAGAGTGGAGCAAATGGATGATCACCCTGTTCTTGAAGATCCTCAATTTGGGTCATCCGAGAAAGCCTGTTACGTCTCTCCTGCTCTATATCCTCATCAGATTCTGCATAGGAATTAGAAATAAGAGCTAGCCCCACACTGAATGGAAGAGGAAAGAACAAGAAACAGGTCAGGCCAATAACCATGTCTTGTTCTTTCAAGAGCTTCTGCTACTGTTCTTTGGTGTTCCATCTCCGAATCTACACATTTGTCGAAATCAAACTCATCAGCCCATCAAAAAGCCAAAAAATCAATGCATACTGAACTAAAAGCTTCATTTCTGTGTACGCAAAAATTAAAGGGGAAAAAAGAAGTTCCTAGTAGCTTCTTTGATTTCTCTCAGATGCGGCTAATCCTTGCATGCATTTCCTCCACATGATTACTAAAGTGCAACACTCAGAAACTTTGCTCCTTGTGGAACTATATTAACAACAGACCTTATGATTTTTAATATAAAAGAAATGAAAATGCAAATATAATATCAGAGTAGTTTTGGAGTGAAGTGCAACAAATATCAAGGAACAATCCAATCAGGATATAAAATACTTTATATTTTTACAGACACATGTTACATTCCAAGACAAAATGTAAGGTGCATACTCACGATGCAGACGTGGTGAAGGAATGCGACAAACCAATATGAATCAAATATAGATACAATTATGTCTAGTATAAATGTGAGAAGAAACATTACCTAAAGCTTTTCCTTCAAGCACAACTGCACCTTGTCGGTTAAGATCTTGCAATAAAGTTCTCCGACACAGCTGATGCTGAGCTTCAGATACCTCCTTGCTACCATCACGGAAGATCCCATGATCCTTCTCACCAAAAGAGCACAAAAAGTTACGAAATAAGAAGTCAATGACCTAGTGCTTCTCAACCAATACTGAAAAGAGATACACATACAACATCTGAAATTTTTTCAACAACTAATCTGGCACAGAGAAGATGGTATGTAGGATAAGATCTGCATAACCATGTAAAAGTAATCTTGTTTCTGCTAACATAATGCTTGAGCACAACCTA